TTCGGTGTCTTAAAGCCCAACTGCGTTTCTCAAGATGCAACCTACTAATGAATCAACAATAAGGACTTTCCCCTTGTGGAAGTCACTTTTCCTATTGCTAGTTTTGAAGATGGACGTATCTCTAACAGGCGTTACGAGACCTGTCACACAAGCATATAATCAAGATGCTGGATGTTGTCACACACCCCAAGTTCGTCTGCTTCGTGATGGAGTTCGCCAGCCGCGGCGACTTACGCAGCCACTTACATTCTCAGGGCCGCCTGTCCGAGGACCGTGCGAAAAACCCTGTAATTTCAACTCCTTTACAGCAATAAACTCGGGCACTACCATAATGTTTCCCGCCCGAAGCACTAAAGACGCAGCTGCTTATAAATAAAATCATTCCCAGGGTCTTTCTCGCAGCGGGGTTTCACTGAACGATGCAGGAGCAAGGGCGTTTTTCGAACAAGTGCTCAAAGGGGTGCATTACTGCCACTCCAAGAATATCGTCCATAGGCAAGTGCATAACATATTTATAATCACCTAAAGTTCAGCGGTTGAAATGCTTCAATTGAAGAAAATTCCGATCTTAAGGAGTGCCAAGCCTTTCGATAGAATTCATTGGCTGGAATAGGGTCATTCTTCCAAATAGTTATGTCCCCGGGCTCCCATAAACTAATATTATTGTTGCTTGGTACAGAGACTTAAAGCTCGAAAATATTTTGTTGGACGATTGTTGCCGCTGCAAAATTGCTGATTTTGGGCTCTCACATTTCGTAGTGGGCATGACGGGTATGAGAACAGAAGCAGGGACTCTTGCTTACTTGGCTCCTGAAGTTTGGAGTCAAACATCACAATACTCAAGTCCATTCCAACTTGATGTTTGGGCTCTTGGTTAGTTCTAGCAATCACGCTAAAGCAACCAGTTGCACTGCTTCAAATAGACTGCAAGCACTATAAATAGAATCATCGTACAGCTTGATTCCATCGAAGGCACGATACATCATGGTTTACGAATAGGTCGCCCTCATCCGTTAGGCTCTACTGGATCATACGGGTTTGTCTTCTTTCAGGCGTTATTCTTTATGCTTTGACCCAAGGAAAGCTACCATTTGCTCAGGCGGACAAATCAGTCGTAGACCGCCTGCAAAAAGTAAATTTCTTGCAGCCAAACCAACGGCAAGCCTATTCACTGGCAACAGGAATTCACGGCCAAATCCAAACGCTCACTAAAAGGCTTTTGTATGGTTTCTTTCTGAAGGGACTGCGTTGGTTCTCAGCAAATCTTAGCATTTGAAGGCGACCCGTCACCGGAATTGAAGCGGCTGGTTCTAGGCATGTTGCATCCCGACCCACGAAAAAGGCTTAATCTTAGCGACGTGATGAATGCCACTTGGATCAAAGCTGGCCGGCCCTGGCATCTAAAAGCACTGCCTCAGCAACGGCAGTCACGCCCGCAGCAGGCTGTGATGCCGTCTTCCGGAAAGCACGGTGAGTCCCGAAGGTTGAAGAGGTTCACGAGCAGGCAGCAGCTGCATTCTGTAGACGCGATCTAAACTCAGTGAACACGAACATTGCTTTGATAATAAAGGCCTGTAGACACCCTAGTTGAATGATGTTTTTGCTTTTAACTGCTGTAAATGACCAGAGAACTACCAGTCTGCAAGTGCAGCCCCAATCCAAGATGAGGGAAGGCTTCAAACACAGAGGGCAGATGGGCTTACAGCCGTCCGTTCTCCACTTTCAGAAGCCGGTGAAGGTAGGAAAGGGGGAGAGCAGCATGCCGGTAAATCTAATGCCCTTCGTAAGCTACAACATTCGAAGACCCGCAAATAAGTCAGAGGGTGGAGCTGAATATGTAAAAGCGTCAGCACGAGACTGCAAACGCTCCGCCTGGAAGCTGTAAACCAAGGTGATGCCGGTATCTTAGCAGCACTCCTCTTAGCTCGGAATGATGCTTGTGCTCTTTTATTTTCCATGTTTTTACGAGCCATGCTCTAGCCCCTCCCGGTGAAGGACAGTGACGAATCAAATCAAACTCAACTTCTATGGAAGAATTCGTCAAGGGCAGCGATAATCCGAGCGATGTGGCGAAACCAGTAACTGTCCTAGGCTTGCACAGCTTCTGGAAACTGTGTTTTATGACGCCCCTTTTGATGTGTCCGTGCACTTTTCTACGACAAAATCGTTCTGCTCTGATATCCTTGAAGTTCACGCTGTTGTCAGTCAATATAACTCTCGCAGTGGAACGAGAAACAGACTGATTCGACGCCTTAGGCGACGCCAGCAGGGAGAACCGACACAGCACAAGCGTAAAGCCACGACATGCCTTCAAGGGGAAAAGCGGCTTCGGACTAAAACACTACAAATCAATAAGGGCCATCACTGCTGCAAGTTCGCCACTCATGATCATCCTTGCAAATTGCTTTACTTGGTGTTTTTGATAAACAAATAGCAAAAGGGCCCACTAGGATTCCCAATCAATGCGAGCAGTGTTGCGGGCAAGCAGTTGGGTACGCCTCTGTCTGAGTGGTGTTTGGCACATGCCAGGAATACTTCGGCTCGCTGCCACCGCGGCACTTGGCATAGATTTGTTCACGGACATCGCATGTCTTAGACTTCTTTTCACATACACGCAGAAACCACCAGCTGAAAACCTGATGAGTTCATTCTGTAGAATGGAGATGTTATAAAACTATGTCTTCGGCAGACAAATTCTTAGGGTTAGATCAGGTTGAAGAGCTCCTGCTTTGCAGAGAAAATCCCACGATATTCTTCGTCGTGAGTGCAGTGCTTCGCCTGGACATGTGGGTAATCAAGCCAAGCAGCTCTTTCCGGATTCACCACCTAACTTGGATAAAAGTAAATATCGACTATTCAGCTTGAGTTGGGACTGTCGCCGTCGCCTACCAATACGTCCCATATTAAGGGGCCCCAGATCTCCACAGGTAGCCGATGTTTCTTCTGCAAAGAGACACAGATATAGATCTAGCACTATTTGAGTCTGCTACTGGCTAAAATTCTCACGGGTACACGGCACGGTGATGTAAGGCGGCCTAGCGTGTTAATGAGCATTTCATGCGTCAACAGTTACAGCAAGCGAGCCACTGAGTTTGGTAAGAATCTGCTGGTCAGGACTACACTGCTTGGCTCCTAGAAAGTGCGTCAGGCCCTTCGCTCTAAATAAGCTTAATGCTATGAGCATTTTTTAGGCGGGATTAAGTTTGGTGTCATGATCCGCAGTGATTCCTACTGTAGCGAAGAGAATAAGCGTTGCTGAGGAACGCCAGGCATGGCACGACTTTCAGTGGTGGTGCTACATTCTTGCCACAGAGCCCAAAACCTAAATGTCATCAAATAGGCCACAGCGGCGGTCAATGGGCCAGTTGCGAACCTTAAAACGAGGGAAGGCTTCAGTGAAAGGCGGAAATCTTAAGTCGATTTAGACAGGGGAAGAGAGATATCATCTAAAACCAGAAAGGATTGTACATGTGCATGAGCATGAGGTTCCTGGAAAACATGTGGAACTTCTTGCCTTCTCTCATCGTTTAGTCTGTAAAATTAAGGTCATATTTTGTCGGTGATGCTAGGCTATTCCTTTTTGGCTTTTACTGTCTGAACATTTTCTCGATAGAATTGAACGGGGAGGTTGGGGATACTGCCAACGAAGTAGTCTTTCTATTTGGTGTTGCAGAATGTGTACATTCTCACTTTCTGTGGCACGACCTCGATGGCGTGTTAAAATGCCAGTGCTGCATGGATTATCTGCAACGGGTTCGTAACAGCAATTACTGCAAACAACTCTCGCAAGAAGTGCGCAAATACTATTCCTATATGTTTCACCTGCTTCGCCTCCCCGAATAATGCCACAATACTATGTATTTTCACCCTTTGCGTCAGCCACTTGCAGACGTGTATGTGCATAGCTTGGCTGCAAGCTTCTCGTAATGGATATCCGAACACCGCTGTTCAAGCATGCCCAGGCGCCTGCCGAGGCAGTAAGAGCCTCCCCGAATAGATGAGCATGACTGCTTTTAGGATCGAATTGGAGTAGCCAGAGGCAATGTGGATGCATCGGGATAGTATTCGGCCAAAGCTGCACTCGCAGTCTTCGCCCAGCATCCTTACCTCTGTTATTAAAATGGTGAGCTTTTGCATCTACATTAGGTTGCTTAGACGTTGAAATGAACTTTCTAGGACTCCTGGATGCTTCGCACCTCCGGGCTTAAGACGTATGATAGCGGTATTTATCTGTTCTTCGCTAGTGTAGGCAACAATTTAAATTACTTCAAATGCACAAATTAATCTTTTACAGCTGAAGAATTTAGACAGGCATCGTTTTTCTTCTGCCGGAGGGCGCCACCCCGGTGAACCGCCACGGGACAAGGAGAGTGACCCTGGATAAAAAGAGGGAAAAAGCCTCTTCAGCCCCTGGCCTCCAGCTCCCTTGAAGTTATTTTTGTCGAGTAAGAAATTCTGAAGAGTTATTTACTTCCTAGCCGTGAGTCTTGTTTCGTGCCAGAACGAGCACTTTTGTTTCTGGGCCCGTGTCTACAAGGCTGTAGGGGATCGATGGGTGCGTACTGGTTTCCTGATCTCTCAGAACAACTGGACCTGCTGCAAAATTAAATGCAGACTGACATGTATTTTTACTAGGAGCTGTAATTGATTCTGATATACAGTCCGTCGTGTACTTCAGTGGTGCGTCTCCTGTTGTACGTGTTAATGCGCAACGGTGTGTAGCCAAAGCACAATTTCGTGTAGCACTGTCCCACTTTAATTTGTTTTGATGCTTTAAGTCTACATTAAGGCAAACTATTTGTCAAATTAGTTTTTTTCCACCATTTTTCACGCTGGAAATGGACACAACAACTGCGCAACACTGACGGACTTACCAGGGCATTTCTTGGAACTCCAGACCTCGCGATTTTTTATCCGGAGCGAACATCAGAGTTTTTCTCATGGTTCAGTGCTGTCTTTAGCTAGGACTTCTTGTTTCTTCATGCCAAGACGCTGAAGAGATGAAGGCCTTGGTCTTATTAGCACTGTCCAAGGCCGTCTTGAGCGCGCTTGCTTCTCAAGTCACACCAGATAAAGAGACGAAGACGCAATCTGTTTCGTCTACTGAGCTAGAGGGTAATTAATGAGATACATGGATATGTGCATACCGAATGACAGCAATGATATCTACTGCATAACAGCAAGCACGAAGCGCAAGCATTTCGAGCACCAGATCGCACCACAACTTTAGCCAGCAGCCACTAGGCATCGATCAATCCAGATCAAATGGATGTTCTGTGCTTATTTGATGTTGATCTGAATGGGCTTTTGCCGCAGCGCTGAACAATTTGAGCGTCGACGTACAATCCGGAGCCTTCGTGGTGGAACCGGGCGAAATTTTTGAAGTCACAGCCCGTGTCAATGGAGACTTTTCTAGAGCACCTCTGGAACGTTCCTTGTGGCTCGGGCTTCGGTTTCTACCAGTTGGTGATGCTGACGCACAAGAACAATCGGCAAGGGCCTCTGAACTTCTGTGGGAAAAACTCGAGGGGAGCACAGCCTCCTGGTCTCTGAAGCTGAACGGAAAAGGAGAATACCGGGCACTTGTGCTTGGCCAGTTCTATTGCAACGTAGAAGAAAAGTCATTTAAGGAGGCAGATTACCTGCCGTGCCTCCAACCCCTTCCTTTGAGACAGGGAACTGAACTCCAGATCAGGGTATCCCATGTCTCTGCCCGTCTGAAGCTGTCATGGGACAAGCCACAAACCATACGCGCGCTTTCACGTTTAAAAGATGCACCTCAGGGAGAGCTCCAAGTATCAGCTATCTCTCTGGACGGCTCTGAGTTGCGGCGTGACTTTAAGGGCACCGTGTACCTTGTGGCCATTGGCACCAATGAGGAAAGCAATTTTTCGTCCCAGCCAGCGCTTGGAGGTCAAACAAGTGCACGTCTGATCAACGGAGTTGCCACCTTTTCTAATCTCCAGCTGGTCAGGGAGGGAACATTCAGGCTTGTTGCCACTGCTGATGGCGCACAAGCCACAGAGAGCGCTACAGTGATTGTCGCCCCTGCAGTTTCGCGGGTGATAAGGCGAGCTATTCGTACACGTGCACAGCATCGCATCATTATACGCGCACTATTCTCTTTTTACGTTCATACTCTATGATCACCACATGCCGTTCTATCTGCAATACTTTGCCGTCATGTAGAAATCAAGACTGCTTCTGAGTCTGCCGCGAAGTACATACCAGCTTGCCTTTTTCCGTATGGAGGCTCCCTTTTCGCCAGCTGAATGCGTGAGACGATGCAGGTTCTGTGAGCAGCCTCCAGCAGTCATATTTGTTCCACAAACTGCTGCGATAAGAGTTGCGGTGGAAGTTCTACTTGCCAGTGGCGGGAGAGACACCAGCTTTGTAGGACCGATGCAGCTGCAGCTCCATGCAACCGATGGCGACGCAACGCTGCCAAAAGATTTTTATGAAACGCAGTGTGGCCATGGTCTTTGCCTTTGGAGTGATTTGGTCCTTAGAAGCCCTCCAGGAAAGTACCACATAAAAGCTGCAGTGGCAGGGCAGGCCGCCCTTGGAGTACCAAGCACAGATGCAGAATACGGCAAAGCCACTGTTCGCCCTGCAGTATCCGCCCCAATTGTCTTCAAAAGAAAATTCAGATTTCCACAGATGGAGGGCAAAAATTCAAATGAGGTTCTCGGCCACGCCGAGTCGGAAACCGCTTCCTTGCTTTGGTAAAAATCAGAGTACATCAACTGCAGTTTGATTACCACCTTCTGCATGACTAGTGATATGTGTTGACGTGAATTTAGCAGGAGTAAGTGAACGATTTTTGCTAATCGTTACTTCGCATCGGGCAATGTTTTCTGTTTTTGGTAAAATTGGTGCGTGATCCCTTTAGGTTCGTTCAAACTGTTCCTCGGGCAGTCCGAGTGGGGCAGCCGTGGGATCTCGAGGTCGCCGTAGATCTCAGATCCTTGAACCTCACACAGAGCGTGCTTCACAACGAACGCTCGAGACGGGAACGAGCAACACTAGGAAGGCGATCTGCGCTTGCCGGGTGGAGCAGTTGGACAGAAGGTAGTAACTTATCCCGTTCACCCCGGAGCTGGCAAGACCGGCACCACTTCATCCATCAGCACCGGAAAACTGAACCCCCTAATGGTTTGCAGCACAAACTTCAAGTCTTCATAGCAGAATCGTGGCCCGAGGGCTCGATTGTTCTCAGTGGAAAGACAGAAGGGATAACGAATGGGCAAGGACTGGCGACCATCAGTGGCCTAGCTTTGTGGCTGCAGGACCAAAGAACCCCAAGTTTTCGCAAGCCTTCGTGGGTGAAGCTTCGTGTTGTTTGCACGAGCTGCAGCAGGGCCAAAAAGGAATTTCGTACACAACTGGGAACGCCGAAGATATACCTTGACACAGCTTCCGCCGTAGGCGTCTACAGTGACGCAGGAAAGGCCGCTTCAGCCCTCTTGAGGTGGCAGTCAGCAAAAATTCTTCATGAGCCACGTACAGAAAGCGCTGCTCTCATACTTCCAGGTCATCCTGCACAACTATGCGTACAGCTGCTAGATAGGCCCTTTGCTGACGTGCTCATAAAAGCTCAGCATGAACCAGGGCTTATCCTCTTGGGTGAGAGCACCAAACGCATTTCTCCGTACGCATGGCCTGTGTCTGCTTGCTGGAAATTTAAAGCTATGTCTTTCGAATCCCAAAGCGAAGTACATGAGAATGGTCACAAAGTCTACTTTCAGCTCATTAGTATCGATGTCTCTTACAGTACTTCTGCTCGGGTACGCTGGAAGGGAATGGCTGCTTCTGACGGCTCTGTGAAAGTCATCGTCTTGCCGTCTCGCCCAACTCTCGGGCCAGTTGCTTTTCGCGATCTACTACGAAATCCAGATGTGAGTCGCGTTGCAATGCTGGATATCCAGCAAACTGGAAGCCCAAAATGGATAGAACTACGTTCGGGCCCACTTCAGGAGCGAGTCCGACTCCCTATGTTTACGAAAGTGGCTAGATCTAGCAGGAAGACGCAGGCGCATACTGCTGCCGAGCAGTGGGCCGAAAACAAAGAACGCTTATTTCTACAGTGGCAATCTCCCGCTGTCGTGGTTGAACTTCTGCCGCCACAAACAAAAGTCGTTCTAGAACTAAGGCCATCTGCTCCACTTCGCTCTATCTTACAAATCACAGGCCAGTGTGTGGATACAGATGCTGGGAACATTCTTGTGGCCACGCTTAACAGAACGATAGGCACAGAAATATCTGGAGGGCAATCTGAAAGTAAGAACCAAAACAGCTATGGAGAGCAGAAGTCGCAGGAACTGAAGTTGCTGCTCGACTGGAGTCAGCTGAATCCATCAAGTGCTGGGCTGCTACGTCACCGCGTCCTATGCGACTTCCGTGTGACGAGCCATGAGGAGCAGCAAGTACAATTTCTTCCTAGGGCATCTGTGGACGTAATCATTAGTAAGTGTGGGCCGAGCTATCTGTGAGCTTTTCCGCGTTGCAACAACGACTTTCGGGCTGCTCTCCCCTACTTCATTTTTGGTCACTTCGTTTCCCAGCATGCATGCATAAATTCTCTTACGTAGATGTTGGTGTCGTCTGCAGTTCGGCAACAATGTGAGGAAGGCGAAGTCTTCACTTTCCAGCGTGGCTGCGAACCCTGCCCAGAAGGGTTTGAGTGCTCGCTCGGCACTGCAAAGCCGTGCAAGCCTGGAGAGTTTAGCCCAAGTGGAAGTCTCATGTGCCAGGCCTTCATCCCGTAGGTTTTTGTTGCGTCATGTGGCTTCTGCAAACAAAGCTGTCCCTTCCCACGCTATCGGCCTACCGAACAACTCCGTAACCACAGCGCAGTCATGCCACGCATGCTGTGAATGCCTCATTCTTTTTCGCATTCGGAGCACTACATCGTTTTGAAGCTAGCGAACCGCTGCACATTTGCGTACATTGTTTGACTTTGTTTACTCTACGACAGTCACAGGGAAACGTCTCCAGTCGACAGATCAGGGCATGATCCCACGGAATGCCCAACAGGCATGTATCTCTTATTCGAGGACGGTTCTCCACAGTACCACGTTTGCCCTGCTGGTTTCTTTTGCCAAGGCGGCAAAAAAGAACCTTGTAGCTCAGGAACATACGCACCAGTGGGCAGTGGGCTCTGCTATTCTTGCCCTGAAGATGCAGTTTGCACGGACCCTGCAAAAAGGCCAGAACAGTGCCCACTTGGATGGCAGCGAAAAGGAGACGAGCAAGTATGCACCCCATGCCCGCCAGGCAAAATGTGCAACGGCTGGAGCGGTATTGCTGCCAGGGAGTTCACGGACGTGCGTTGTCCTTTGGGCACTTACACGAAGGCGGAATACCCAGGTGTTTGTATTCCTTGCCCGCCTGGATTCCAGTGTCCGGACCCCATGGAAGCCCCGCAGCCGTGCCCTTCTGGGACAAGCTCGCTTGGGGGCAGTCGCACATGTTCTGCAGCTCCTACTGGACTTATAGTGGAGCTTGGCAAAGAGCACCTGCCCCCCCGGCCTTGTGATGACGGACTTATGCCCATTGAAGTTGACGGAAAGTGGTGGTGTGGCGTGGGATACGATGACACGAGCTTCGATTCTGAACAAAATAGCTCACCAATGCGCTCTTCTCCCGTAGCCAGCACTGACGTCACAAGGGCTCAATCCTTCCCGAACCTGTGTACAGCAAATCTAATGGACCATAAATCGTGCTTTTCTTCATACCTGCCGCCCAAGACGTGGTGCCCAGCCTACGGTTCGACTACTAAAAGCTGGCCTTCGGAATTGGCAAATGGGCCTTTCTATGGAAAAAGTGGAGGATTCTCGCAGTTCTTCGCATCGTGCGGATACACACAAACAATCGACGACTCATCAACCCGAGTGAGAAATTGTGGCATACGTCTTTAATCGAGCTCAGTGTATGGCTACTCAAAGCTTTGCAAATCTTTCACGGATGCTGTGCATATCGCTGTTTTAACACTTTCTATCGGACATTTGTGGCTCGCTTTTAAACAGATTCAATGTCGCACGAAGGTGATTAACCACCCTGCCTTGGGGACGCGGCTATCAAGTGAATTGATCTGCCAGATTGGCTAGTAAGCAGCTGCACATCGCACGACTGCTGATAGTTCAAAAGGTGCCTTCGTGCAGGGCACCCTATAAGCTGCTAAAGAATACTCCTCCACACGAGCGACGAATATTTTCTAGCAGCATGAAGCTCCTTTTGGGATTGGCATGTGCTATGCAGCCTCTGCGGCCCACAAGAATGGCGCCCGATTAGACGTGGTTACTTTCAGCTTTCCTGGCAAGGAGGCGTCACAGGATGGACTACGCAATATGACACTCCAAAGGAATATCCATGTTGGGAGGGCCACAAGTGCGAAGGAAAACACCACTGGCCTCGGCACTGCCTGCCAGGAACGTATTCAAATGAGGACGGGACAGACTGTATCAAGTGTCCAGCGGGATGGCCGTGCCCCAATTCTCGCACAAACAGCAAACAACTGGTCATTCCATGCTGGCCTGGTCATTATTGCCCTGAAGGCTCTGCCAGCCCAACTGCAAAGCCTTGCCCAGCCGGGACGATAAACCATGAAAGTGGCTCGAAAGACATTTCAGCCTGCAAACCCTGCCCTGCTGGATGGCTCTGTGCGGAGAGGTCCTTCCATGCTGTAGGACGCGAGCCGTGCCCATCAGGACATTACTGTCCGGAAGGATCCAAGGAAGGCATTCCGTGTCCAGCTGGTACTTATTCTCCGTACCCAGGAGCCTCTGATAGAATGAAGTCCGACAGTGATTGCGTACCATGCCTGGCGGGTTATTACTGCAAAAAGGGCAGTAGCTTCTTTGATATGCTCTCTCAGCCGTGTCCCAAAGGTACGTGTAAAAGTAACCAACATTCGCGGGTGCAAGCAGTTGTTCGGCCTCATTAAGCTCGAAGAAACTTCTTCCTAAACCAATGACTCCTGCTCTTCTACAATTCCGTCCATATGTGAATGAGCATCTGAGCATATGCGACATTGGTACTGCTGCTGCAGGCCGCGTATGCCCTGCGGGTACCGACTCGGAAAAAGGACCAAAATGTCCTCCTGGCTTTTACAGCTCTGTTGGAGCCCTTACAGACCCTTCGGAGTGCACTCCTTGTACGATGGCACAACTCCAGTCAGCAGATAAATTCCATAACAAACACAGAGTGCTTTTTTTATCCCAGGTTGGGAATAACATGGAATATTCTTAAGTTAGGGAAGGAAGAATTATTCTTTGCTGACCTGTTTTTTGATGGATGTAAATTACCGTAGGCCCAGCTGGATATTACTGTGATTATGGGGATGAAAATAGCGCTCCTGAAGGAATCACTGGCCAATGCCCTTCTGGAACGATGTCGTTGAACACTGGACTATATGGCGAGGCGCACGCAATACGCCCTATTCCAGCGGAAGCAGGTGGGGACTGGACAGTGTATAGGCAGGTCTCAGCATTAAAGCCAGACACTTTTCTAGACTTACCCTTTAAGGCTAGCAAAACAGCATTTTTCTTCTCGAGCAATACGCACTGCAACGGTGTGAGCCACCCTGCTTAGCATTTTAAAGGCTAACAAAGAAGGCAATCCATCGCCTCGCCATATCGCACAGTGTTCAAAAGCGTTCCAGGAAGGCACTGGCCAGTGATTCCTTGAGTTTCAGGAGCAACATATGATGTTTATGCATGCTGTGACGCAATAAAAGGAAAATTCAGAAAGTTTAGGTGACGTTGCATCCGGTATTACTGTGAATCAGGTATGGATGCACAATGTGTTGCATGTGATCCCGGATATGAGTGCGCGGACGGTGTACGGGTCGCTTGCGCCAGAGGCCTTTATTCTGATGGAAGCGCATCATGCCTGCCGTGCAAAGCTGGTCACTACTGCTCTGAAGAGGCAACCACTGAAGAGCAAATGAACAAGCAGAAATGCCCAGCTGGCGTCTTCTGCGATGCGGGAGTCGATTCTATCCCAACGTTGGCGAGCCATCCCTGTAAAGCGGGGAGTTACTGTCCTGAGGTATGCAATAGAACCACAATATTTCGCATTGGTCTTGAAGTAGCAGCATTCGGGGGCTTTGCTACCTCCCACTCGGCGGGGTTCCACTGACTACGCTTTTCGCAGTTCAACAGAAACTTGGGTAGTAGGATCGCATAGCATGCTTGGAGTCCAAAAATTTTATACGCCATGGTATTTTTTAACCGCCAGAATGTTGCTAGGCTTTTTCGTGCGCTTTTAGGGAGTATCAAGTCCAATAAAATGTGAAAAAGGAACCGTGAATCCGAAAACTGGCCAGGTCACATATATTCCAAAGGCACCCACGTTTCAGATGCAGCTGGAAAAAAGGCTTTCTAGAAGCTTCCTTAGGCTTTTCGAAATTTTCCTTGGCTCGATGTCCATACCTCTGCATGTTTGCGTGCGCTGACAACATCAGGCAGACAAAACGGCTTGTGTGCCTGTCGCTGCCGGCCAGTATGCATCAGTAGAAGGGCTGGCAGAAGCTGAGGGATCCTGCTCAGTTGGATATTATTGTCCGGAGGGATCGACGTCGGCAACAATGCATCACTGCCCTGCTGGAAAGTACTCGTGAGTTATTTGCTAGCAGTCTGCCGTAAGTTCTGTAGCCTGTGAATCCCCCTTGTTTAGTTTGCTTTTGTTTGCGAGTACAAGGGCACATCAGCGCCGTCTGCGAATCTTACTAAAGGTAAAGAAGCCGGTCAACACCCAATGCTCGGCACGTGCACTGTTGTAAAAGACCGAATAATTCTTATGCTTATATGTGTTATAGAGCTCAACCGGGGGCGGCAAGTGAAGAAGAATGTGACAAATGCCCACAGGGTGCGTAATTTTTCATACATGTGCATATAGTATACCTTGTTTCGGTGCATTGCAGAGTCCTTGGCTCTCTGTTCATCGAATCGAAACCTTGGTATGGTGGCCGCTTCAGGCTACTACTGCCCAGGAAGTAGCACTCCACAGGAATGCCCGAAAGGCCAATACTGTGAACTAGGCTCCATTGCACCGAAACCTTGTCCATCTGGAACCTTTAGCTCTGCAACGAGGAACTCATCGCTCTATGATTGCACGGCTTGCCTGCCCGGATATTACTGCGAAGATGAAGGTGCACTGGCCCCCTCCTCTAGCGTAACACGCTGCATTTGAAAAACCACTGCTGTTGTGTACATTGCAAGCACACAAAGGCAGCGAGAAGTTCTGAATTTTTCTGTCACATTAAAGGTAGGGAACCCGCACCCACTCCGCTCACAAACGTATCCAGCTGCGGATGCTACTGTACAGGCCTCTCTTCACCAACCGGTGCTTGCGAAGCGGGGTAAGCTCACGTTTTTTCGTTGCACATCCAACGCAGAGCCCATGAGCTGATACTTCCGATTCAGTACATTAGGTGTACGCTTGCAAGTCGGCTCCTAAGCAGAAGGTGACTTTGTCCATATCTATCGAAGCGCGTCCCATTTTAGGAATTTACCACAGCTCTTTCTTTGTCCATATCTATCGAAGCGCGTCCCATTTTAGGAATTTACCTCAGCTCTTTTATTTGGCAAGGCCTTCTTTCTATATCTAGCATTGAATCTTCCCAGGTTGCTTGACTTTTGCCCACCGTCAGAATCTAGTGGCCTGCGCTTGAGTAATTCAGGTATCTGTGCTATGAGGGGGCATCATCTCCACGCCCAACAGATGGAAAGACTGGAGAGCCGTGTACGGCCGGAGGCTACTGCGAAGAGGTCAGTTTCGTGGTTGCTGTTCCTCCGTAGTTTCCTTCTATTTTCTTCGGTGCTTCTACTATCACGTCCAGCGTGCCATTTTATGAGAATTGTGTTTTCATGTAGTACCGTAAATTGTTTTGCACTTGCTGTTTGCGAATTCAGGGGGCAACAACAAAGTCATACTGCCCTCCAGGGAAATACAATCCTTCTCCGGGAGCTTCATCGAAAGATGATTGTATAGATTGTCCTGCTGGGAAGTATTGCACCGGAAGCCATTCTCCAGAGCCTGATGGACCGTGCGCACCGGGGGCATATTGTACAGGAGGCTCTGAGACCTCCAGGTGAGTAAAGTAGCCTCACTCTCTGTCATGTGTCAGTGGAGAATATCGCACTTATATGCTCGCCTTCTAGTTACAGTCTACAGCTGCCCAGTGCTTGAAAGCCAAAGTGCCAAACGCTTTATTCTCTTCCCCGCAAGCCGTTTCAAAAGCGTGTGAGCGAAGAAGTTATATAGATCTCAGTGGTGAACCACAAGGCTTTGTGATTCTGCCAGAAAAAAATAATGCGTTGTTCTAAGTTTGTTTGCAAGATTCTCCCTTTATTCTTTGCCATGACGAATTTTCGCAGACAAAAAGTGGCGCGAAAGGGATACTACGCCGCTGAAGGATCTTCTGAGGAGCTTCCATGCCCACCTGGAAGTTTCTCCCCACACGAGGGACTGGCTGAGTGCTATCTTTGTGCTCCTGGGTGTGTTTTCTGCCATCGTTAAGACTTCATTCCGAAGTAGTAGTTCACCACGGAGGGGTTACGGAAGGTAGTTTGATGATAGTGACGAAAGATTAGAGTCCCTGCAGTTCCTCAAAGCCCCTACAGCTTCGCCAGAGATGAAGCATCAGCGCCTCAGCCATACCTCCATCCGTTTGCCTTTGCAGATGGGTCACAAAAACCGAAGGCAGCACAAAATGTGATCCTTGCACCTATGGGCACTACTGTCCAACAGAAGGAACATCTACTGAAGTGCCGTGTCCTCTAGGAACATTTAGGGAAACTGGATTTGGCTCTTCGATCAACAGTTGCTACCAGTGCCCCCCTTACAAGGCATGCACTTCTACAGGAAACAAAGAGCTGGAGAAAAACCTACCCTACTGCGAAGCTGGATATTATTGCATCTACGGGTCTCCAGCTACACAGCCATCAAAAGATGACGAAACTTACGACCCCAACAAGGCTGGTCCCTGCCCAGCAGGCTTTTACTGCGAAACGCAACAAATCCTTACACCGTGCCCTAGAGGCAGCCTTGGTACTAATGAAATGCAGCGAAGTGCAACAGACTGCGCCAAATGCCCCGCAGGTATGCATCGAACGTGCTCACTGCATCTCGCAGTATTCAATCAATGGGTGTCTCGCCTCTTGAAATTTTTCTTGCCAAATATGCTTTCCTATCTCTGACACAAATAGAGATCATGTGACTGGTCTGTGTCCTGTGTGCAGGCAAGGTGTGCCAAGACATAGCAGGCTTAACGGCCACTGAATGTCCTGAAGGTTTTATTTGCCCAGAAGGAACAATGGCAGCTGAGCGCGTGGCAAATTTGTGTCCAGTTGGGAAATTCTGTCCTGCTGGCAGCACCGACGGGACAAACTGTGCCAAAGGCTCATTTGCGCCCACGAAAGGCATGTTAGAGTGTGTAAAATGCCCGGCAGGCTACCTGTGTGAGGATCCAAGTCTCAACCTCTCTCAGCAACCCTGTCCAGAAGGATACTTCTGCCCCGCAGGTGGGCATTCGCCAGCAACTACAACTTGCGATGCCAGCAAAATGTGCTGTAGTGCATTTCATTTCTTGGCGCTCACGCGTTGTGTTGTACTGGGCTGTTTACAGCTTCAAGTGACAAACAGGCCTGCCCGGCTGGAACTGTAGGTTTTGCGGAGAACCTTTCTAATGAGTCCCTTTGCCTTCGTTGTCCACCCGGACACTACTGTCCAAATGAGGCTACGTAAGTCATATCCTCGCCATTATCAATTCGCAAGTAGTTTTCTAGAGAGGCCGGATTCGCTTCAGCGGACTTTTTGTTCTGTGCATGCGTTACGGCTGCATGCTCAGGGCCATCCCAGACAACATGGAACAGTGCCCTCCAGGGAAATATTCCAGCCGCGGGTCAAAAGACCAAAGCGAATGCAAAGAATGTCCAGTTGGGTATTACTGTCCGGAAGCATCAAGCACTCCAATCCCTTGCCCAGGAGGAATGTTGTGCACCGCAGCCGGCCAGGAACAACCCAATGAGGATTGTCCAGAGGGGTTCTACTGCGAAGCAGGCACCTTGCAGCATAGTTACTCGGTTGCACAGGTTTGCCCAGCAGGTGCTTACTGCCCCACGAATTCATCGTCCCCAACATTGTGTCCCATGGGCACGACCTCACAGAATCAAGGGGCCACTTCGGAAACAGCCTGTACGCCGTGCCCAGCAGGAAGGTACGTGCCGCTGCTTACAACCTAGGGCGCCCTTTCGTGCAGCTTTGATATGTCCTTAAAAAGTTGACGAAACTGAATAGAGTGCCCTTCTAAATCTTTGTTCTTGCGAGGAGCACAATGCTGGCCGTGTTGGTGATGCAGTTCAGCAAACAAAGTTTATTGAGTAGATAGGCTTGTCTGCCTTCGTGTGCAATCAGCTATTGTGGATCTCCCGGTCTGACATTTCAAGAAGGATCATGCACTGCGGGATATTTCTGCCCAGAGGGTAGCTTCGTCTCCCAGCCAACTAAGAGCAGGTGCCCAGCAGGGTATCAGTGCCCCGCAGGGTCATCAGAAGCAATTGCTTGCGATACTGATTTGAATCAATATCAGCCAAAAGCGGGGCAGGCTTCGTGTGAAATCTGTCCTGCTGGGTTCGCTTGCACATCCACAGATGCAGAGCTTTGTCCAACTGTACGTAAGTTAATTTGCAGGAGAACTGGAAGAAGCCTGGACGCACGAATGGCTTGCAGCAGCGTAGCAGCGATACCTCACTTATCCTACTTAGTTGCATTGAACATTCTATCTTCAGGCCTATTGCGATTTTGAGCGGCGCAGGGTAAATACTGCGCTCCTGGAATGAAAGCACAAGCTTGCAGTGCTGGAACATTCAATCCAATTGCGGGATCGCAGAGCGAGGCATCATGTCTTCCCTGTCTCCCTGGATGGGCTTGTTCCGTAGAGGGCCTAGAAGAACCGGATACAAAATGCGCAGCAGGCCACTTCTGTGTTTCTGGGGCGTCTAGTGCGACGCCAGAAGATGAATGGACGGAGGGTGGCGGCTCATGCTCACCAGGCTTCTTTTGTCCAGAGGGATCTTTTTCTCCTACACCTTGCCCAGGCGGCAAATATTGTTCCGATGAGAAGGCAAGTGCTCCTAAGGGCGACTGTGTTGCGGGACACTTTTGTGCTCATGGGGCAACAGACGGGCAGTCCAGTTCAGTGTTTAACCCTCTCGAGTGTCCGTCGAACGTCAAGCAAGGAATCTGCCCGCCTGGCTCGGTATGCCCTCAAGGATCAGCGTTCCCGTATAACTGCCCAGCGGGTGAGCTCCGTCACGCGGCTTCATTATGAACAGAGGCTTCATAGCCGTGAAGCACATCTCGTTTAGTAGTCAGCGTGAGCATCCGAAGAAATCTCAATACAGGCTCTGAAGCTAATGTAATACGGCCCGTTCAACGGTCTGTTTCTACACAGGAACTGTGCGAAAAAATTCCGGAGGAACTTCCTTCGAGGATTGTGAGCCATGCCCGGAGGGAGCTGTCTGTTCACTTCTTGGAGCAACGAAGGTGACGGACGAAAAGTGTCTCGACGGCCGCTACTGCAAGGAAGGGTCGCGAGTACGTAGCTCAGCTAAAACAACCATTTTGTAAGAGGCCATTTTCTTCGCACTTATGTGCACTTCGGAAAAAGGAAATTCGTCACTGTTGCCGAACCTTTTGTTTTGCTTGTCCCATGTGAAAGACAAAGTTTGGCATTCCCTGCCCGGTCGGCCACAAGTGCACAAGCAAAAACGCAGCCCCTGTAAAGTGCCCGGTAGGGTGAGTTCGAATTTTTAATGATTAGTAGAAGTTCATGGTACATATGGAGCACTTCAAAATACAACTTTAACGGCGCCTATGCAATGATATCATTGGTGTTCACGGGTGGCCAACAACCTTCTGGGTGAGACACTAGAGTGGGTGGAGGCACTTCACGATTCGCTGGAGTTCACGCCTCTTGAAGGTCAAAACACTTGTTTTGGCTTATCTGCAGGACCTATCAGCCTGCGGTAGGAGCGGTAACTTGCGAGCCTTGTCCACCAGGTAACGAAAGGAGATGTAGGGAGCACAGACAGTCTTTATTGCGTTCGCAAATCCGTGCAAACGCGCTGCCCTGTCACGCTTTCTTTTACGTGGTGATCAGGATTTGTCTGCGCCCAAGAGGGCACTTCAAAGCCTGAGGAGTGCCCGGCAGGATACTTTTGTGTTGAGGGTATAAAGACGCCCTGCCCTGCTGGAACATATCTTGAAAACAAAGGCGCTTCAGCATCCACTGCATGCAAGCCATGGTAATGCAGGAATGAGGCCTCAGGAAGGCGTCGCGTACTCAAAAAATACTAACCGTCAAGATAGTAGGTTTTAATGGGAAGCATTTACTCAAATCGTCGGTTACCCGGATCCAAACTGCTCTGCGGATGTGGGGTGCATGCACAGTCCTCCAGGGAAAGCATGCCCAACCGAGGCTTCTACGTCGGATAGCTCAATCCAAGATTGTCAAGAGGGCTACTACTGCAGACTAGGGGCGCCTTCAGTTACTCCCACAGAGATATCATGCTCAGGGGATGACAGGACAGCCTGCCTTCCAGGATCAAAGTGTCCAATAGGGTACTACTGTCCTTCGGGGTCTAGCACGCCTTTAGGCTGCCCCTTAGGCACAACAGGGAGCAAGGAGGGCGCAACGTCGGATAGCGATTGCTCGCCGTGCCCTGCTGGCCTTTTCTGTCCTCCTGGTGGAGGGCAGTTTCCTTGTGATGCCGGTTTTTATTGCACTGGAGGGGCATCTGTTCCCAGACCCACAGACAATAAAAGTGGTGGTATCTGCCCACTTGGCCACTATTGCGACGGCGGCGCAAAGGCGATTCCTTGTGAGCCAGGGACCTATGCGGACTCTCAGGTAGGACTAGTTTCCTTAACATTAGCGTATTTTTCAACCGTGACACTTCGCACCAGGCCAGCACAGCGTATCATCGGCCTATAATTAAAGCAAAAGATTAGCAGCAGCAAATCAGGGATATTGTTTTGCTCATTTTGCGTCTCAGGGGCTTGCAGAATGCAAAAAATGCCCTGCAGGGTTCGTTTGTAGCAATGCAGGCAAGCTGTTTTCATGCTGAAGCCCTGCCAATCACAGTAGTATGCTTTCCTTTGCCGTTACTTTGTGCACTTTAAAGCACATCGCAAACCTGTATATTTCCAGATAGTGTCAACAATTCAATATGTGGCTTTGTTAGGTCTTTCCGGACAAACTCTGCTTTTAGGATGAGGCATGCCTGAGACGTCTTTTTCGCTTCCGGGATCAATGTTGCTTTTTGCAGGAGATGAAACTGGAATAAGCACGCCGTGCCCTGAAGGCAAGGTTTGTCCTGAAGGATCTATCGATGCTACTAACTGCCCGGTCGGCACTCTCGGCAAAGCCAAAGGTTTGCAAGATATTTCACAGTGCTCCTTATGTCCTCCAGGCGAGTCCATCTGTGCCCGAGTGCGGACAAATGAATTCACGAAGTAGCACAGGCAGTGCTGCAGTAGCGCAAAGGACTGCAACATTTAGAAACTGCGTCCAACATGCTTCTGGTACTGAAGACGTTTATCCGCTAGAGCAAACAAGCTGCGTGAGACGTCTTTTAGGCAAATACTGTGACCAAGAGGGCTCGAAAGAACCTTCAGGGGATTGCGCAGCTGGATACTACTGCCAGGCAGGCTCAACAGAGCAAGCACCAGATGTAGAGGACTGGCCCAATGCCAGCGGCAAGTGCCCTCCAGGGCACTACTGTCCTCAAGGAAGCGTGAGCAGAGAGCTTTGTGCAGACGTTATACTGCTTTGCAGAAGACAGTAAGGAGTGGGAGGCTGTACGTCGTGTTATTTTAGCCCGTCTCGCTATTTGTACTGCCCACATTTGATGTTGCTGCAGGCAGCTCCTCAAAGCTGCCCTCCAGGAACATTTTACTCAAGCTGGGGGGCTCAAGATGTCGATGAATGCCAGCCTTGCACAGCGGGAATGTTTTGCGGCAGCTGGGGTCTCAGCGAGCCAGAAGGTTATTGCAGTCCAGGCAAGTTCAACAAAGTCTGATACAAGGCGGCTTATCAGAAAAAGTTCCGGTGTTAGGTAAAGGTCAGCATAGTGCCAGACGCAGCCCTTACCATTGTTTCACGTATTGCCCATTATGGCATCAAAGCAGCCCCGCCGGGCACTATGTTTCTGACTACGCGTACTAAAACTTGGAGATTGAAACAAACATTCTGATGCCCAACTACAGGATTTTATTGTAAGGAAGGGTCTTCGTCGCCATCTCCCATTCAGGAAGCAGCTGGCGACCTCTGTCCTTCAGGCAACTACTGTCCAGAAGGTATGCAGAGCTACAAAGTCTACAGCAAAAAGTTATACACGGCAATTCATGCTGTAGAGAGAGCCTTGGTTTCTAATGCCAAGGCAATACTTCTCGCTTGCGTCTATTCTTTTTCCACTGCTTGGAAAACGCGCGATAAGCAGTCGGATGGCATCGAGGCATTTCGACACTGTAGCAAGATACAAACTGCGGTTTTCATATATCAGGCTCTGAACAACCAAAGCCTTGCCCCGCCAACACATTTATCGCTCACCAAGGTGCGGAACGCCCTTCCCCACAATTCGTCGACACATCTAGCGAACGTAGCTCCACTTCATTGACAACAGGCTTAACAGCACCCACACGGTTTTGGGGCGTCTGGCTGTTTTCAGGTTCGAGTGAATGCTTACAATGCCCAGCGGGATTCACATGCAGTGAAGGAGCGGTGGAACCAGAAATCTGTCCAGCAGGCTACTACTGCGAGCTCGGGAAGGAGCCTACACTATGTCCAGGTGGAACAAAGTCGACGCTTACCGGCCTTTCAGAAGCAGGACAGGCAAGCAAGCACTGTCTGCCGAGGCTTAAGCGTTCTCGTGTCCCACAGTAGACACTACTAAAGCAAGCAAAAACTTTTTAGAGCTTTTATATGTTTATTGCCGAAGGTTAGAGGTGTCACACTGGAATATATGCAAAGGGACTGCTTCTGAATAGCGCGGACCTTCTCAGCGTGTGTGTGCTATTTCAGTGCATTGAGTGTGGCTCCGGGCAAGCATGCGACGGATTGCGTGCAGTGGGTACTTGCAGAGAAGGATTTCTCTGCCTGGCTGGCGTGGGACCGTCAACATCACCTGAACTATGGCAAAATCTGTACTCGCCAGCAGCTGTGCAAATTGGTGGGCCTTGTCCCCTGGGGCACTTCTGTCATGAGGGTGCGACAGTCCCCACAGCTTGCCAACGAGGCACCTCAACTGTACAGGAAGGCGGAAAAACAGCGCTGGACTGCTTGCCTTGCAGTGCAGGATGGTACTGCAGCTTGAACTCGTCTGTAGGCCCTCAAGCAGAACAGAAAGACAACGCACTTCTTTGCAGATATTCCCATTGGTGCCAGTATCTGCATGTCTTTTTCTGGAATGTGTGCATGATCCTTAAAAAAAGTTTGGGAGACAGCTAGCTAGCTACTGCTGAGGCGGTTTCATGTGCTATCTCTTCATGTATCTTCAGGAAGTGCTTGAGTGTCCAGCTGGGAAATACTGCCCCGCTGGGAGTGTAAGTCCAGTATCATGCCCTGCAGGTACTTATAACCTGCTTCCACAAGCTGAATCTGCAGATAGGTGCGAGACGTGCCCTGCTGGGTACGTCTGTACCGCAGGAACAGCAGACTATTCTCAGTGGCCTTGCCCCATTGGGTACTTCTGCCCCGAGGGATCTGCCATGGCATCGCCATGTGCACCCGGCACGTACGGCGTCACAAGCAAAGCTACACTGGCTGAAGAATGCCAGCAATGCCCACCAGGCACGTCTTGTTCTCGACTATGCCATATTTTTCACATGTTAGCGCAATGTTGCTTCTTTACTCTCTCCGTGTCTGAAGTGAAGCTGATATCTGCTTTGTTGGGTGGTGAAGTATTATATTCAATGGATGTTCGTCAAATTTTAGCGCTGCCTTGTTTGTTTTACCCGCCGAACGTTCAGGGTACTTCTGCGAAGGTGCAGACGCCCCGCCGTCACCGTGCCCGGCGGGACAGCTTTGTGAGCAGGGTTCCTCACAGCAGCTCCCTTGTCCTTCTGGTAGCTACTGCCCTGCAGCTGTAGAGTCTCCTCTATCATGCCCCAGCGGCTACTACTGTCCGGAGGCATCTCCGCATCCCGAGCTATGCGCGGAAGAGGCAATTTGTCCGGAAGGAGCAAAGGAGCCGCTGTTATGTCCGGCAGGCACATACAGAGCTAGTTCCGATAACTGCACCCAAACACAGTCCATTGAAGCATGCTGTGAGGAATGTCCAGCGGTGAGTCTTTAAGAGCCGCCAGTGACTTGCTAATAATGCAAATCTATTTTAAAATCCAAAGAAACCGTGGCTTACTGTCTTCAAATCGAGCTTTTTTGCTCCACTCGCTCCGGAAATGAATTCTGCTAGCTTAAAATCAATTCAGCTAACGTTATGCCTGGAACTACATATCTGTTGCTGCTTGATGCAGGGGACACATGCTCCTTCTTCTGGTGCGTCAGTGTGCGATCCTTGCCCTACTGGATATCTCTGCTACGGAGGGACTGCCACAAGCACCCCACAGCTTCCACATGTAGACCATGGCGAACCTTGCCCGCCTGGGTACTACTGTCCGGCTGGGAGCTCTGCTCCACAGCCTTGCCCTGCTGGGACGTATAATGACCAAAAGGCAGGTGCTAATTTACTGGAAGCCTGCAAGCCATGTGACCCTGACACATATTCAGATACCCCTGGACAAACAGGGTGTTTCGCCTGTGGTTCAACATCGACAGCTAGTGCAGGACAAACAACTTGCACATGTTTGGGGGAGCACCGATGGTTCCAACCCAGCCAAGGTTCTTGCATTTGCGAAGGCGGATACGAAAGCTACGACGTCGCAGGAACTTCCTTCTCTAATCTTGACTCTTCTCTAGACTGCCAGCCGATAGTAAGACAAAACTGCGCGGGGTCTCAAATTGCGCAGCTCGCTACTTCACAAACTGAATTACGTGACAAAGACGGGCTTTGCGTGGACCCATTGGACTGCGAATCAGTCTGCCCAGACGGCAAAGGTCGCTTCCTGCACCTTTCAGGGCAATGTATTTGCCTACCCGCAGTAGAAACTAATGCGCTTTGTGACGAAGAATGCAGGTAGGGCTTGAAACGTGCGGTAATACGATTTTGGCAGCCTCAACGAATTGCCGCACCCGTCAACACATTTTTCAGATCAGGCCTTTTAATGCCTAGTTCGCAGTCCTCCTCTTTTCCATTTAGGCGAGAAGCACTCCGCGCACACTATGAAGATGGAGATTTAGTCTTTAGTAGTGAGGCTAACGGCCTCGTTACACGGCTTTCGTTTGCCGATTTTTCGGTCAATGGGAGGGTACTCGGGAAAATAGGATGTCGCAAGGACATTAACACTGACTGCGCCATCCACTTCTATGATGCCACAAGCGAAGGAATTTTGGGACGTTTAAGTGTTCCTCAAAGTATGACTACAGGCCTTAGTCGAGCGCTGAACAGGTCACTTATATTGTGTTTCGATAGAGTATGGCACCATTTGTTACTCCGTTACAGATGCTCAACCGTGCCGAACCCGTCACCTTCCCCGTAGTATTCGCAAGAGCTCTGCTTTGGACGTATATTTCTGCTGCACTATAGGACTGCAAGACGAACTGAATCTATCACATCGGTATTTGGCGACCGGCACTACTACAGAAGGCGTACTTCGACACCTTTCCGCGGAAGCTACTTCTTTAACGGTCAAGGCCCCTGTTCAATGCTTACAGCTCTATGACAGTGTTGTCTGGTGGGTGGGTGAAGGAGTCTACCCAATTTTCCTGAAGGATTCTCTGCTAAACACTAATACGGAGATTGACATATCAGCATTTCTTCAGTTAGCTTCTTCTATGGGGTCTCGCGATATGTCCCGGAGCTTCAGAAATACGAGAAGCACGTCGTCCAGCTTGGAAGTAAGCACAGTTTTTGCCGGGGAAATTCCCTCACATCGCCGTCTTCCGCACGTTAAGATGATGGAACTTGAATGTGCTGCTCTTCACGTGCTCATAACATCATCGCTGGTCTTGTTCTGTGAGCCACAAGCAAGGGCGGACAATGCAACGCATCACTGCATAAGCATGCCAACTGCTTTCCGTAGAAAAAGAAGTGTTTTGGAGGTGTCAAATTCATTCATCGCTGCCTTATGCGTGCATTCATCCAACGTGTGAATTGCAATTTGTTTGCGTAATTTGCTGTCACAGTATTTCGTATACACCTTTACTGTTGAAGGAGTCTTCGCTTTTGGGACCAGCGAGGACAGCAGCCCTCAAGCAATTTTCTCCGTCGTTGGAGAGGGAATTCAGTGCGCTACTGGAACAAGGTTAGTGTGAATATATGCATGAGCGCAGATTCACGCTTGCACATCGGCCGATTTGTCTCTGCCGCAACCCGTTCCTCAAACGCTGCTATACTCTTCAGGTTTCCTGAAACAGCAACCCATTCGTCTCTCGCGCGTATTGGAGCGCAACTTCAGCAAGTACTTAATGTGGAGCCTGACCTGACAATATCGCTGTTGACGTTTGCCTGCCTATTAGTTGTGCTGGTCCTGCTGCTCGTGAGTATTTCCGCCGCACGCCGAAGCCAGTACAAGAAGCGGCAAGCGCTAGATCGGAAAGATATTAGCGAACGTAAAGACCTTGTCCTCGGCAACAGAAGTGCAGCGCTAACAATGCGGAGGCGTCTAGAGTCGTTGCTAGCAGACCTGATCGAGCAGAGACTGTGCAAGCAAGAAAACAACAAAGTGCTTGCTTTGCAGCCTGAACAGCTAGAAAGTATGCTTGCCGAGATACCTCGAGGAACACTTCAGCCACAAGCCTTTGAAAATGCTTTCGGCGTTCTCCACGAACTCTCACTGCAGCTGAATTCGTTTTCTTCCATGGCTAGCTACGAATACCATGAAACAACAAAAGATCTAGCAGTTGAAATCAGCCGGCTTCAAAAAGAAATTTTAATAACTCTAGCACCTGTAAAACAGAGACTACAGGTATGTAAAAGTCGATATTTTACTGCTTTAATGCGCGCAGCTACCACAATGAATCTCTTGCAGCCTATACATTTTGCGCAGGCATCAAGTTCGACGCCTGGCTTTTGTGCAAGGCTGTTCGTGCTCTTCGCTTTCCTTTTGGCTACCAGGATAAATGGCTCATGTGAGAGCACCAAAGACGACTATTTTATGAATGTGGCTGCAGCTGGGAGTGTTTGTTGTGTGTACAGCATCGTGATCGATTGAGAGGGTTGATGGCTCCCATGATGGAAAATATCAATCGCTTGCTAGGAGAATTAAGGTCCACCGACCTCTTTATAAGTGCCGCCGCCTCTGGAAACGATTTCGAGGATTCTGAAGAAGGGGAGCATGCCATAATCATAAGAAAACTATTGATTCCTGCAAACATCGGAGAGTCTACCATGTTGCATCTTCGACTGCTACACGCAACAGTCTATGCTGAACGCTTCATCACCCAGGCTTCTGACCGATTTCAAGTATTCTCTGCCTCTGAGCGGATGGTCAAAGCATGTATAACAACTCTAAAGGCTCAAAAAACGCAAACTGACGGCGCTGCTGACGCTCTCGCACAAGAAAAATTGCAGTTGCTACAGGGGGCTCACAACTTGCTTGCCGAAGGCTGCAAGCTACTCGCTTCCGGTAGAGACGCCAAAGAAAGCATGAAGGAGCGATTTGCAGAGTACAGGAGGAGAGAAGAAGATATTCTGAATTCTTGTCGTAGACAGTATTCTGCAGCGATTGATGCCGAAGTGGCAATAGCACTTCAAAGCCTTATTGACAGAGAAGACGTACTTCTACAAGGTCACTTGAGCCGGCTAACTAGTTTAGCTGCCGCAGCTCAGTTGCCTTCAGCAGAGAGTCGAAGCAACAAGCAAAAAGCGGCTAGAGCGCTGCATTCATACAGTAATGAATGCAGAGCGCACTTCAAACAGGCTCTGAAAATAACAACAGAAGCTCTGCACAAGCAATTGAGTAAGCTCATTAAGACCTACATACGAGAAATGGCACAGACCCTTTTACGCTTCTGTGTGTGTGTGAGCACACACATAGACTTCTATGTGTGTGTGTGTGTGCACACACATAGACAAAAACAGAGCACACACACACATACACACAAACACATGCACACACAGAAACACAATGGAATCCGCCGATGTGGACAGGTGAGGTCGCTTATCGTGAACAAGCTGCTGCCGACGGCCAAGAGCAGCAACGCGAAGCCTTAGTTGCAGTGCTTCTTGACCAGAAATCGCGTGGAGAGGCAGAGTACATGACAAGTGTCCACAGCCTAGAACGGCAGCTGCTGCTTCTTTGCACACAGCTCGCAATACAGAATAAAAAGGCTGCCGAAGAGGAATTCTTTCAGGTACTAGAGACACGTTACCTATTTTTGCTGGCTTTGCACTGTTACTTTAGCCACGAATTTGACTAACTTCGCTGTCACCAACCCTTTAAAAATTTATTCTTATTTGATGCAGCCAAAATCTCCCGAGATACGCTATGCCTATTCCGTTATGCAGGCTGCTGTGAACGGCTGGACTGAAGCGCTTCAGTCCGAGATTCGAACACAGGCTCAAACACTCCGCCGTCAGGCAAAAGCGGGGGAACTGGAAGAGTCCGAGTATAGGCAGCAAAAAGCATCACTTGCTTCTTCACTTGACCTTAACATTCAGCGAATTACCAGAGAACAGTTCAGCAGCAAGGCTGAACGCATCGACCAATTTGAGCGGGAAGCAACGAGTGCCTATGAAAGCTTGTAGGACTTTTTAAGCAGATTTAAGCTGTTTTGTGCAGCAGTGGAACGTAGTGTGGAAGGGTTGTTCATGCGGCAATAAGGCGCGGTTGGATTCTTTTAATGTCAGCTTGTCCTCCATTCCTCTTCCACGTGAGACACGCTTACTTATTCCCCTTCTTTTGCAGAATGGAAGCAACTCATAAGCGTCAAAAACTTGAAGATGACTTGAGAAAGGCACAAGCAGATGTATTTGGAAGTTTGGTGCGCCGGAGAATTAAACAGTTTTGGAGAAGCGCGGAGGAGGAGAGGAAACTTCTGCTAAATACTATTATAGCATCTTGGTCACGTGCAGCTGCGAACCAGGAAAGGTTTGTTTTTGCTCTCTATTGTATATAGGATTTCATTCTTAGGGAAAGGTGTAACCTGACATAAAACGGTAACGTATTTGAGATCGCGCATTTGTCTTCTTTACAAGCCCATTTGTAGAACAAAAAGCCGCTGAAAAGAATTAAAGGGCCCTTGGGTTGTTCTCGCTCGAATAATGCATAGAGCCCTTAAGAGCCTTTAAGAGTTTCTTCGGTCATCAAACTTCCAGTTGCTGTGCTGGTGCGGTATTTAACCGGATGAGGATTTGAAGTGTCCACGTGCTTGCTTCATTCCAACAGGCTTTTTGATGTTGAACTCAAGATTCAAGAGGAACTTGCCTCTGCAAAGTTGGAAGAAGGCGAAGCAGGCAATGGCCCCGCGCAGCTTCAACGTGGTTTAAAGGAAAGAAAACAGGAAACGGAAGCTGCAGTTGAGGCAATGATGGACAAGTCTCGTGAGTTTCAGGGGCAGAGTCTCAAGGAAAACTTGGCACGAATGGATGAACTAAGACGCGAACAAGAGGCGACAATGAAAGAAGCAACAAACGAAGCCAAGTGTGCACTGTCGGAGCAACGCGAACTATGGCTCCGCGCCTTGAAAGGCGAAGCCGACATAGATGCCACGACGCGAGGCACGCTGCAAGCCATTGGAGAGCAACACGCTGTACGTGTGGCTGTGAGCTGCTTAGAGGCAGCAGCCCAGCAGTACTACCATGATGCTGCTGCAGAAGAAAAGGAAAGCGCTGAAGTGGAATCATTAGCGGTAGTGGATGAAAATGAACAGATGAAGCAGTTCAAGGAAAGCCTTATGGAGAGGACTGCCCTATTGAAATCCTCTTGCGACGAGGAATTCCATCGTAGTTCAGATGCCTTGTGGGCAGCGTTCCAGCAACATCAAGAAGCTTGCAAGCGGGCTCGAGGGAATATATTAGACGCTCAAGGCCAGTTCCAAGAGAATCGTATAGCAGTCGTAAGTGGTTAAATTGAAACATGACTTACGTCGCTCCAAGATGTAATATTGGAGTGCGACGCTGCGTTTCTTCTGACTGCTCTAGCGGGGAACTGTGCAGGTGGGCATCTCTGGTAGGAGATATGCCTGCAACTATGCTTGAAGGGTGCTGCTACTGCCTTGTAGGACACATGGGCTCGTGAAACAGAAGAGATGCTGTGGCATGAAGCAACAGCCCCCCACGTAGATGAAGGAACCCAAGAGAGAATGTGTTTTGCCTTCTCCCGCTTCCGCAGTGACTGGTGCGTTGTGCGCACAGTTCGGGGCCTGCCGCATGCCCTTGAAGTTTTTGCCATGCTTCACAAATTCTGGCTATCAAATAGATTTTGGTCTTTCTGCGCACAGGGAAGAGGATCTCCTGACGTGGCAATCTGGTCAGATAAATGAGAGATTTGAAGCCTCTACAATAGACGATAACCGACTCAAACAACAAAGGGGCCCAGATTGGGCAGCTTCATGTGCTTCGTCCGGTTCGAAAGCTCTAGACAGCCTTCAGGTGAGTTTTTAATTATCATCGAGGCTGTGCATTGCATCCTTTTTATTGAAGGTGTGTACATGAACCCTTAAAGGCGTTGCAGAGCAGGCACTCACCAGTGACGGCATGTCCGTTTGCAGGAGCTAAAGCATGCCTAATCTCAGTGAAATTGGGTACACAAATGGCTTGTTATACCGCTGAAGGTCTATGTTGCGTAATGCTTTTCTGCGATGCCTACTGGGATTTCAGGACAACGATGCTGGCCATAATTCAACAGGTGCACAGATGGCTTTGGAGACCCCGAGAGTAAAGCTAAATGACGATTTCTGGGCGAGGGGCAAGAGTCTATTGGACAGTATATCAAAGTCGCAAAGAGAGATTAGTTTGGCTGAGTCTGAATGGCTGGGAAGGTGCCGAGCCATTCAAGGCGGGCGCACGGCTTTGAACGCAAATGAAGCTAAAATCAAGAGAGCCCAAACTACTCGCCTGGAGCACATGAAGGAAGGATTTCGAAGGTGAGGCTCCATCACATTCAAAGGTATCTTCCAACAATTTGGCTTTTACAATTTGCTAATGGAAAGCGATCCTCTCCGCATGCGTAAAATTGTGCATTTCAGCAAAGCGGAAGAGCTTCGTAAAGTGTATGCGGAGGAAGTAAAAGCCTTACTGGAAGAAGATAGAGAGGCAGAGGCACAAATGAATCGTTCAATGCAAGCAGAAGCAGCTAATCTTGAAATGTCCTTCAGAGTTAAAGAGGCCAGCCAAGATAGTCCTGAAGCGCTTGAAGAGCTGAAACGCCAGCGGGAGGAAGCCCTTTCAGACATGCTTAAAGATCTGCAGTATCAGAGAGACCTGCAAAAGGCAACTATCCGAGGGCGGCTTGAAAAGGCAAAGGCGGCACTGCAGGAGCAACAAAGGCAACTTCGTCAGCAATTCGAAGCGTGCAAGGAAGAAGCGCGAAAAGAATTTTTGGACCTGAGCAGCAGCCTTACAGAAAAAGCTCGACATGACAAAAGGGCACAACTACTCGCTGCAGCTCGAATGAATCCCACACCAGAAAATGTATATGCGTAAGACGTCCAACCCTGTGTATAATTCTTGCCCTGCCTGCTTCTTTTCGTACTGCATGATTGTACCAACAACGTGAAAACACTGCTGCATTTTGCTTGTGACTGTGCTTATAACAACCTTGTCAAATATTCACGGCGACACTACGGATGCCTTCAGGTTGCACAACCAGTTGAAGGAAGAATATCGAGACGACCTGAAGGCTCTTGTAGTTAGGCAGATGCAAGAGAAGGCGAAATATAGGCACAATGCTGCGATGCAGCAAAAAGCTCAGGAGTCACAAGAGGCACAAGCCAGTGCTGAAAAGTATGGAGGAAATTACCTAATGAAGCGCTGCGGACGCATCACCTCCCCCCTATGTCACCCGTGCTTCTCGTATTGATAGGGTGAAGTCACAGTGTACAGAACAAATAGCCGCATTGTTTTTCTTGAAGTGAACTCTTCATATTGTGGAAGCTCCCCGTGTCACTGAAATTTTGAACGATGCAGTCTCTTCGTAATAGGCACCTGCTGAATCTGCGCCGCAGCAACAACACAGGCTCTGCGACAGAAAATGAAGCCGTGAAGGCGGAACTGAAAACGTACACCAGTCGGAAAACATCAGAGCTGCACCAAGCTAGGGTCAGAGAGATCCAAGAGGCAGCGCAAGACGCTGCGCTGCAAGACGAAGCCCTCAGACTTCAGGAGGAGCATCTTCAAACAGTGATTGACACACTCAGGGAGTTCACCAGCGTCAATGATTCGTCTGCAAGTAGTCTTCTGGAGCACGCGAAACAGGTGCAGCACGTTGCTTAGGAACCTGTAACCTCTTGATTCCACATAATTTTTTACCTCTCATCTTCACGGCGTGCGCAGACTCCATAAATACTTTTGAGTCTTCTTAACCATCAAATCTTGTGAGCCATAAGGCCCATATTTGCCTTTTCGCCCATTTTTTCAGGAAAAATTACGGCTAGCGCAGGAGCGTGACGATCTCCGCAGGTTTGTGTCTGCGCGGCTTCAAGAAGTGGAGAAATTGGTTCGAGAGAGAAAACAACAGGAAGAAAAAAGAAAGCTGCAAGAGTCGCATGCTGCAGCTCAAAAGCGCAAGATGTCCGCAAAGGCTCAGGAAACTGCAGCCCGAAAACAGGGTCAAGAAAAAGATCTCCAGAGACAGCAGAGGAGGCAAGCAGAGGAGGCTCGCAAGCTGCGGCAGTTCATTGAAGCAATGGGCTCTGAAGGCAAGACTTTGGATGACCTTAGGCAGGCTTCAGAGCGTCGTTTAGAAAAACTCCGACGTGCGACAGAACGGGAGCGCCAAAGGCAGAAGGAAGTTCTGGCATCAAAGCGTAATTCTAGGGCTGCAAGACAGGCTAAGCTATCTCGGGAGAAGCAAGCGGTACGAAAGAAATACTGTCATGCTGTTTGGCACAGAGTGCAAGCAACTAGAGGCTCTTACGGCGTTAGCTCGCATTTACAGGCATGTGCAGTTACCTTTTCCGATTGCAAGCAAGCTGTGCTTAGCAAGTGTTTACTCACACGTTGAAACGCAAAATTTTATCTCCGGAGGACATTTTAGACATGTTTCCCTGTTATTTAGCAGTATTTCCACTTCACTTATTTTTGTGTGGCCTCAACTTTACTACGCTTTTCGCAGGCCCTAGCACAAGCTGAACAGAATGATATGCAGAGTGCCCAAGGATTGCTACAGAGCATTGCGACAAAGTGCACAGCCACAACTGGCGAATCTGCAGAGCAAGATTCTGGCGAGAATGACTTCAGAAAGCTTGTGTGGGAGATGGAGGTCAAGGCATTTGCAGAAGAAAAGCTGCAGCGGCTTAGTGAAACCCTTGTAGAATTCTTGCAGGCAGCTGAGTCCGCAACCAACTCTAGTGGACCAGAGGACACTTCGATCGTGGCAGGTTCTGGGGAGCTAAGAGAGACTGTGTTGCAGGTGCGTTTTTGGCCCCAAAGCCTGAGTCGGTTGGTTTTAGACTAAGCAGGGTCTCAAGGTGCGGAAAGCAGCATAGTCAGTCCGAGTACTGCACGGTTCAAAAACCAGGATGTAAAATTATTAACTCTGCGTTGGAGGGTTCTAACGTTTTTTGTGATGTTTTCTCTGACTGAGTAGGTAACAAAGCTTCTCCAGGCCATCAATGTGGCTCACGTGGCATCTCGAGGATAGTTTTCCAGTTTACCGAAGGACTCATGTATTGTTATTGCTTCGCGCAAGACGTGCGAACTACTGTCCAGGTAGAAGCAAGTAGGTGGCGTTCATTTGTAGTAGCTGTTGGCGCTACAGCAAGAACTTCTTCAAGCTTGGAGCGGCGATACAGTTATCCTGACTCCAACAGCACGTGTAAGCAGTTTACTTCCAGCATGTTCTCCAAGAGGATGCTGAAATCAAACACTATGCACGTTGCCAACTGGCTCTCTAGGTCTTTAGCAGACCTCCCTCAGTATGTATCGTCCGTTCGGCTTCCCGGTGCCGACAAAGCCTATGCAGTGCCGACTGCTGATATTGTACGTTACGTACGTTACGAGCTTTTTCTACGGACCCAGACACAGTCAGCCCAGCAGGGAATGTATTCCGGCTTTTCGCAACAGATTTGAAAGTCGCTTTAGAATGAAATGAATCGTTCGCAGCTCCGTGGGCTTGCCCGTCTTTAGGCTGATTTCCTCCACGCAGTCACATTGGCAAAGCAGCTATAGATAACGTCGTAAGCAAAGTATGAAAATTCACAGCTTTTGCAACCACGAAAATCCACAGTCATTTTGTCATTTTACACTGAAAGTAGCTTGGCAATCTCCTTGGCAGTTGTAAAGGCACCAAGGGCTATAGACTGTATTTTTTGGCTGAAATATCCTGTTGTCCTCTTTTCTGCCGAATATCTTTTTCTGAGCATTACTGTTAACGCCTAGTTTATGCGCTGGCCCCCCTCTCTCCTCTAAATTGTTCTGCCTCCTTAGAAGTCCCTCCTTTCAATTTAAATGGTACGTTAGACTTCCTGAGGCACCGGGAGAATTCGAAAGCACGCGGGTCCTGCTCCCTTACGACCAGAGCTTGCTAGTAGCTGATCTTCAGATATGAGTGATCACAGCTTGCTAGTAGGTGGTCTTGAAAGCGGAAGTCCCAAAGAAGTCCCCAGAGGCGTTACTTTTGCCATTGGTGGTGGATGCTGTTTGTTTTGCATTCCTAAAGAGCTGTGCCGCAGTTGATATCTGTGCAGCCCTGGTAACCATGCTGTCTCGTCGGAGTGGCGGGTTGACGGATGCCACGGGTGTCCCCGCCCTGCTGCGCACTTGGTGCACAGCATCTGAACCCTGACAGCTGCTTTTGCTGCCATCGTTGCACACGCTGCCAAGAGCATTTGCAGTGCTTGACAAGTGGTGGGACCGCAAATTGGGAAATGATTGCAGAGTGCTGCTTCCCAGAACTTCGAAGCAAAATTCATTGTTGGCAGCACTCGGCTTTGAATTCTCCCGCTCGCGCTGCTCTTTTTGCACCTTCTGCCTATCTAGCTGCTGCCGCTGCTTATCAAGCGTGTATTCAACTCCAGAACGCAGTTCTGTAGTCGCCGCAGCCTGTGTATCTGTCACCTTATCTAGTTCCACGTTTTTCTTGTCCCGTTCCACTGAAACTGCACTATTTGTTGCGCGTGTTGGTGGGGAGTTTTTTTCCATTTGTTCCTCTTCAGGATGAACTCTACGGCAGTTACCAACTGCATCTGTCGCTGTAAGGCAAGCCTTTGGAGATGTTTTTGTGCAATCATGCCTCCGGCAACTATGTTTTTTGCGCGATATCTGTCTTCCATGTGAATCCCTCTGCAGGAGCATTTGTTGCAGCAGAAACACCTGGCGAGCAAGATCATGCCACTGCTGCTCTCCAAAGGTTTTCTGTGGTTCGTTGCTTACAAGATCCTTGGAAGTTGCTACCGCTTCGGTTCCCTTTGACTGGCCTTCTTTGTGTGTTATTGAGCTGCTGCTACAGCATAATTGCGAATGAGCAATCAGGCGCTGCGGTGGGGACTGAGGAAGCACCCACTTTCTGTGGGCCTCTGACGTCTCCTCTGGTATAGGAGTGTGTGCACAGCGTTGTTCCTTGTGCTCTGAATGTTCTCCATAGATATCTCCTGTTCCAATTGGTACGCAGCATCCTTCTTCGCCCAGCGTCGCAATGCGTCCGCGTACTTCTCCTTCAAGGGAAAGTAGCTGCTCCAAGGAGTTACTGTCGCCCTGTTCCTGTTGAAGCAGGAGTGTTGCTCGTGTCTGTATAAGTTCGCGCCCAGCAGAAGCATCTTCTGGCCCTTTGTACAGCACAGCAGCAAGACAGTTGGACCCCTTGCTCTTTGCCTCAGGTTGCTTTCCTTTTCGCTTCTCTTCCCTAGTGTATAACCTTGCTGTATTAGTGGTGGTACTTCGCAAATCGCAGCCATGCTCCTTGGCATGCTGTTCCTCATACTTCTTCTGCG